CCTCTCAGCCTTGGACCAATCAGGCTGTGATAAAACCCACGTGTGACCATTCCCTCCTCCCATTCTGGAAAAAGGTTTAGATCAGGGTGTCAGACTTCCGGCCCATGGGCCGGATGAGTCATGCGCTGGCCACTCCCACTCCCGTTCTTGCAATATGTCATGTGGCGTGTTGTTGCAAGTTTGACACCCCTGGTTTAGACAAAACAGTGGTTTTAACAATGTAATACTTAAATGAGCTTAAAATACAACTGTGCATAAAGATGAGCATTAAAAATTTTGATCAAGATATACTGATGGAAAATATTGGTTGAAAGGATTTAAATTTATACAGGTAGTCCTTGAGTTATGACCACAACTGAGCCCAAAATTTATGTTACTAAGTGAAACATTTGTTGAGAGTTTGCCCCATTTTATGACTTTTCTTGCCACAGTTCTTAAGTGAATCATTGCATTTGTTAAGTTAGTAAACAACTTAAGAGTTGTTAAGTGAATCTGGTTTCTCACATTGACTTTGCTGGTCAGATACTGCAACCGTCATAAATATGAGTCACCTGACTTTTAATCACCAGACCATGGGGATGCTGCAATGGTCAGAAGGGTGAAAAATGCCCATGTCACTTTTGCCAGTGCCGGAGAAACCAGAGAAATTGTCAAGAATGCATACAGGCACTTCAAATTTACACTGGAAATGTGGACAATTTGGGGTTCCAATGCATGTGCTGATTCAGAGGAAATATTAATGTACAACTGAGACCAGATGTTTTTCTTTTGGGACTGATGGCCACAGCTGGAAAAAAGTCATGGAGCTTTTTTTGTATGTAATAAAGTTGACAAAACTTGCTGAAATGTCAGTTCGTCTGAACTGCATGTCTCGAAAATGGCGTGGGAGGAGTCATACATGGGTATTAACACAGCCCTTTTGCCCTGGAGACTGAGGCAAATCTTGAGGCCACACCTCCGTTCCTCCTCTGACCTCCCGATGGTTCATAGCAGAGCACATGGAAGGAAGGGACAGAGAACACACACACGTCCTTCCTGCCTGGCCCTGAACTAACTCAGGCGCCCTAAAGGGGGTGAAGAGACTACTCCCACGCCATCTTCGAGACATGCAGTTCAGGTAAGACCAACTGACAGTCTCCGAAGTGGGGTGTGAGAGGAGTCACACATGGGACATACCAAAGCTAGAGGTCCTTGGGAGGGAATCAATGGGCCTGAGCCCCTCAAGAGTCCAGGACTGAAGAACCCTCCTCCCAAAGGCAGCCTCCACCGGTGGCGGAGGTAAGCCTCTTCCGGCTTCAGCAGTGCTTCTTGAGCGTTCTTGGCGACTGTAGGAGGTACGCCGGCCACACGCTCACTCATGTGCTCCAAGATGGCGGATAGCAAAGATGGTGGATAGTGAAGATGGAGGCTGCCAATCTGCGGTCTAATCTCCTCTGAAGCTTGGCAGCGATGGGAACGATCCTGCAGGGTCTTTGATCCTGCAGGGTCTTCGATCCTACGATGCCTGTGGGGGCCTCCTGGAAAGCCTGCAGCTGTTCCCGTGAGCCACACGGCTCAGAGGCTGCTTTCCCTCTTAGCGACCGGCCGCCCGCCTGGGGCACGTGCTAGCAAGTGGCGAGGCTTGGAAGCTAGCAGGGTGGAACATGCATGAGGACGGTTGAAAATAATCCAAGGTAAGAAAACCTTTAAAAAATTCTGTAAAAAAACCTAGAAGTCTTCGAAGTGAGGGAGAGTCAGGTAAACACTCCTTCTGGGCGTGTTAATCTGGGAGGTCAGAGGAGGAACGGAGGTGTGGCCTCAAGATTTACCTCAGTCTCCAGGGCAAAAGGGCTGTGTTAATACCCATGTGTGACTCCTCCCATGCCCCACTTCGGAGACTGGCCAATTGACTTCTTTGATGACCAAAAAGGCAATATCTAAGCTTATTGTTGACTGGAAACTTCTTATAGACCTTTTAAATCAGACAGAAAAAAATGAACGTATGATTTATGGTTTTGATGTTAGGCATCTCTGATGTTTGATGGATGGATATAGAAAAGAGACATGATGTAATTTTAGAGGGGTAAATTTATATAGAAGTCAGTAGATATTAGAATGTCTATAGAGATTTTCAGTCCTCGAGGTCAAGGTTGTCCCAAAGGTGCTTTTTAAAGAAGCAACCGGACTTTGCTTTTCTTTGAAGACATTTCGCTTTTTGGATGAGAAGCAAAATGTCTCCAAAGAAAAACCAGAAAGTCCAGCTGCCTCTTGAAAAAGCACCTTTGAGAGAGATGCTAGAATCTTTTTTCTTTCTTTCTTACACTTTTAGCCTTTTCTTTTTTCTTCCTTATTTTACATTAGGTTGTATTAGTTTTTATCTTCATTTTTAAAACTTTTAATGAGATTTTTAAAAGTCTATAAACACAATTCTGCTCTCCTCTGCAAGAAATGGGCCTTCAGCAAGAAAGCCTTTCCTTTTTAGGGAAAGGACTAAAAAGAAATCCCCCCCCCTCCAGAGATGGGGGGCACAGTGTTAGAATGCAGTACTGCAGGCTACCTGTGCTGATTGGCGGCTGTCAACAGTTCGGCAGTTCGATTCTCCTGGCTCAAGGTTGACTCAGCCTTCCATATTTCCAAGATCAGTAAAATGAGGACCCAGATTGTTGGGGGCAATATGCTAACTCTGTAAACCACTTAGAGAGGGCTGGAAAGCACTGTGAAGTGGTATATATCACTAAGTGTGATTGCTATTCCTAATTGCTGACAATTGGACTTCTTTAGAAAAAGCCTATAGGAATATGACAGGCTCACTGGACCATTTCCCTGGCTTCTGTCTGCATTCATCCCAGCAGTAGCAGCAGCCCAGGAAGTCACTCACGTGAGAGAACTCAGGCTGGGACGGCAGCACAAAAGCATCTTGAGAAACTGGAACAGAGCCCTGAAAGGTGCCCGCAGTCTCCAATGATGTGCTTTCCTGCTTTCCTAGTTAAAATTATGAAAAAAATTGTGATTAGGACCTCTAGAAAACTGACTACACTCTTGACTGCTGTGATGCATTCCACATGAGGTTGTCCTTGAAAAGTTCCCAGAAATTTCACTTAGTTCAATTGGTTCAAATGTAGTGGCCCGGTGCAAGTCTAGATTTGCACACCCTTCAACTTTCTTGCAGGAACTGCGCTGGTTCGCAATCTGCTTCTGGGCCCAATTCAAAGTGCTGGTAATTACCTTCAAAGTCCTACAAGGCTTGGGACCAGGTTATTTGAAGGACCACCTTTTCCCTATTAAATCCATCTGACCCACAAGAATGGAGGAGGCAGGATATGTTACAGGTCCCCTTTCTTAAGAGGGTCCATCTAGTTCAGGGGTGTCAAACTTGATTTCATTGAGGGCCGCATTAGGAGTATGTTTGACCTTGGGAGGCCAGAGTGGGCATGGCCAGCTTAATATCACTGGTGTCGGGGGCACCTGTGGTGGCCCGAGCACTGTGCCAGTACTGTGGCTCCCTCCTTCATATTCTTTCATATTCTTTCGACCCCTTTGAAGACATGATTTTGCCAGTGGGCCTGGTGACTTGAGGGTGATACAGAACCCACTAAATGGTTTGTTTGGTTGTTGTCACCAGGGAGGTGAGGGCTTCTTGGCTTCCATTTTTGAGGCTTTACTTTTGAATGAATCCAGAAGCCATTGTGGGTGGCCATATAAATTTTTTAAACAAATAGAAAACAGGAAAGCCATATTCCTTCAGTTAGAACAAGAAAGCCTCACGGCAAGTAAAGGAAACCTTGACTACTCCACTGCACTGCCACTCCTAAATGGAAGATAAAGTCAGTCTTCAAAGCGTCTTCCACCAAGAACCAAGGAGGGAACTGGGACATCCCCATGATGGAACAATCACAACTTATCCTGGCCAAATTAAAAGGGATGGCATACCTTCTGCCTCCTGTTCAGTTGGGCTTCTCGGAAGAAGAAAAGGCACTGGTTGTAAGACATCAGAAGTTGTTCTAGCAAGACCTGAAGCACAACTAAGGAGAAAGAGAACAGTCAACAGATGAAGACCTCCATCTGCACACCCATCCCTCTACGTCGGCCAACAGAAGACAAGCAAAAGGCTGGATGAAGAGCAAAGTGGAGGCCTCAGTCCTCAACAGATAGCCAAACCAATCTCAAAGAGCCGAGGTGGCACAGTGGTTAAATGCAGCACTGCAGGCTACTTCAGCTGNGGCCCCCTCACCTTCGCCGGCCTCCGGGCACACAAGCGAGCGCGGCGGCGGCGGCGGCTCCAGGACCGGACTCAGCGCCTCTCCGCCTCGCTCCGGCTGCGAGTCCTCCACCAGCAGGCGAGGCGTGTCGGCCATCGAGCAAGCCGAGCCCGATGGGTCCATGGCGACGCCGGCGGCGGCAGGATAGTGGGTGGGGCGACGACGCAGGTCTGCGCAGCCGCAAGACGCTCGCCCGGCAAGCGCTCCCCTTCCCAAGGATGCATGGGCGCCTTCCCTGCGGCACGTGCGCAGGCGCAGCAGGGTCCCCGCTAGCGCCGCCCCTCCACGGCCCGGGCCCTTTAGCGGCGGCGCGGGGGGGGGGGCATTCTGTGGGCGGGACTTTCCCTGTGCGGGACCGCCTCTTTAGGCGTGTCTCCGCGGCCCTCCCGCCCGCCCGTCCAGGCGGAGGAAGGAGCCGCGGCCGGGCTTCCCCTCTCGGCTGCAGGGGCCGGAATTCCCCCGGTGCGGAGGCTTCTCTCGCTGGGCCCGTCACCCCCGGCGTCCCTTCCGAGAGTGGCCAATTCACTAGTCAATCTAGGCAACAATCCCTGAAATCGGAGTTGCCACAAGAGGACGTGAGGCTAGTCAACGCGTCACCCCCTTTTCAGACAGGGAGGGATTAAGGTGGGGATTGGAACGTTGATTCCAGGTACCCCAGAGGGCCTACCCGTCAGATGGAGTCAGGATGACCTTCCATTTGGGAGAATAGAACCGATTCAGGTGTCTACGTGGGAGCTGCCGTTTCAATCGGACCTGCCCAGATGCCTTGGCTTCCAAAGGGCTGACTTTGACCTCTCCAGTTCTTTTCGACTCAGCCTTTGGACAGAATTGACTTAGGTTGTATATTTCTTCTGAGGTGGGATGACCTCCCCCCTCAAAAGGAGACATGGCGCAGGAAGACCCAGACCCATACTCCACTCTGTGGAACTCCCTGAAATCTGAAAATTGCCTTCTAGGGATCTTTCCAAAATAATCATTCTGAGCTCTTCCTTGAGTTTTTAATCAATTCTAGTGATTCTTAAGTATACATTCTGTAATATCAATCCTATACGTTATGGTTTGCTAATGGTTTTATGAATTTCATATTAATTTTGTATACAATTGAAGAGACAACGCCTGCGAGGGGTGCAGGGGTCTCCCCAACCAGTGGTCCACTTCACGGTCCAATTCCTAAGATCATGCTCAAGAATGACAACGAGGCTGCGATCTGGGTGAAATGGCAAATCTCTGTTTCTCCAGAGTGCCTTTTTATTAGAAAAAGTTAGTTACAGCGTCATCAAAAAGGAACGTATCAAAAGGCATATATAATC